ACTACGCTCAACCTGAGCAAGTGGCACTGAGTTATGGAGGTATGTATCTAATGATATCAAAGAACCAAGTTCATTCTCAAGATCGTCGCGTTGTTTTATTTTATATAGAATTCACTGAGAACCTCTCTTTACAATGACATGATTTCTGCATTTAAGCTGCTTAATTTTTGGAAACTTTACAACTCACTTTTAAATTTTTCAATGAAGAAATTAAAATTTAGCATCGCATAATTCAGTGTTTTCCAGTTCAATATGCTCCAGGCTCTATATAAAAGACGCAATTTATGAAAACCAAAACATTTCAAACGGATTTCAGAGCATTTCCAGATATTCGTATCATTAGTGTTTCAGGTGATCCATCAACTGTTTGGATAACATGGATTACATTCGACGATACCTATGCGTCTGTGGTGGAATATGGCACCAAAGATTTGGAACGAAACGCCACCGGAGATACTTCCCTATTTATAGATGGTGGATCCAAGAAATCGAAACGTTACGTTCATCGAGTCAGGCTCACTGAATTGGAGCCCGGAACCACCTACGGTGAGCTAGCGATTTCAACTTTCAAATTTTTTCAGAAAATGTAGCCTTCTTAGCTTGTTGAGTGAGATTGAACGGATGTAAGAAAAGATTTATTCAATTGGACATTTGAGTTTTACGACACAGGCAATGTATCCGAATAACTAATCAGGAATCATAGATGATATACCAAAAATTGTCTCCAATTTGAATCAGATTATCAAAAAATTGTCCGGAAGTAACAAATAAATAAATAGGTTTCATCTCAAATAGTTCTGATTTCAGTTCAGTCAATTCATCTTAACCAGCTTGTTGTTTACTTATCTATTGAAATGCTCATTTTCTTCACTCTATACTTCATTCATTCTTAGTTTGTTTATTAATTGATTGAAGTTTATCACGTTGGCTCTGAATACGGTTGGAGTCCAATATTCCGTTTCACGGCACTCCAGGAAAGGCCAGAAGGTGGATATATTTATGCTGTATACGGTGACCTTGGCAATGTGAACGCCAGATCGCTGGGTAAAATACAACAACAAGCGCAACGGGGTCTTTTCGATATGGTACTTCACGTCGGTTAGTATTTTTCTTTGCATCCCGGTAATTGGACAGGCAGCGGTAATTGGATCGCATGGGATCTTGGCATTAAATTTTAAGTCCCAAACCTAAGATTAACTCTAAGAAAAATCCCATGATTCGGGCACTTAATGAACCACAGCATTTTGTATAATTTTGGCAATGTCATACTGAGTTTACTCTACATTACCCAATAGTCATCATCCTCATTACATCCATTCATTAGAATACTCACCTAGAATGCATCAGTCAGCCCCAATTTATTCATATTGAATGGCATTCGTTGTCTGTTATCATTATATGATAGCACCATCACAATTTTCATTATCCCTCACGCTCGCTTCGTCTTTCAATCCCGATATCTAATGCCGATCTCGGGATTGAAAAGCGGCCGACTTTTTCAAATATTAACAAGCAACAGTGTGTGAAATCTCCATTCCGATCTATCACTGATGAATGCTATTTTGCAGGCGATTTAGCATACAATCTTGACACGGTAAGTGCATTCTTTTCAATTATTGTTCGCTGTGTTCATTTAATCATGTGAAAAGGATCGAAAGATCCTTCAGATGAACTAATTTTCTTATCTGAAGGGTCCCGTCCGATTAAAGCTAAAATTTTCTTATTATACTGCTTCAATTCTCATCACTGACAACCCAAAATTTACGTACGCTGCAGAAATATGACTCACTCGTTATAGAAGAATGCTGAACATCGGATTGAAATTTTGGAATCTTTTGCTATCGCTAACGAACTAATGGGATCGTAATTTCACTACTAACGAAACAACTGTTTTGTAGCGATAGTGGTAATGCTACTGGGAGCGATAGCAAGAGTGGCCATCTGTGGATTTGAGAACAGAGAATCAGAATTTTTAAATTGAAATTTCAGGATGACGGTCAGTTTGGTGATCAATTCGGTCGTCAAATTGAGCCGGTGGCTGCTTATGTACCTTACATGACGGTAGTTGGAAATCATGAGGAGGCATATAACTTCTCACATTTTGTCAATCGATACACAATGCCCAACAGTGATCATAACCTCTTTTACAGGTGTTGCTCCACTTGTATTCATTTGAATCTGATACGGGGTTGATTATGATAGTTTAGACATCCTCGCGAAAATGTATTTATCCTGAGGGGATGGTACGATCATGCAGAAAATTTCTTCTTTATCTGCAACAGATTGATGATATTGTAAAGAATTGGCTGATAGCATGGATCATTTTTCTTTCGTTTCTTCAGCTTCGACTTGGGCGCTGCACACTTCATCGCATTTTCAACGGAATTTTATTACTTTACGAATTATGGTTGGCAACAATTAGCGAAGCAGTGGGAATGGCTCAATAATGACCTGAAGGTTAATCGCATCGCTTCATGACATTCGGAAATGTGCACCTTTTTGATAAACTCAAACTCTTATGCAGCTGCGCTTCATCTTCTTAAGCTTCATTTATTCACTCTACTGCCAGGTTGCTAATCAAAATCGTGATAAGCGTCCATGGATCATAACAATGGGTCACCGACCGATGTATTGCTCGGATTTCGACGAAGACGACTGTACGAAATACGAGTCGAGAGTGCGTGAAGTTTTTGATATTCTTGCATGAATTACTGCTTAAATCACATGAAAATTTTAAACCGCTGCAATTTTCTTTTGCTTATCTGTTGCTTCGATGAACCGTACGCAGCATTTGTTCTGAGACGAAAGACAGGCACAATAAAGTCTTTGGTGATTATGAAGAAAATTTTCAAACAAAATTTGAAACAAAAAAACTCCATGTGAACCATTGATAATACGAAGCACTAGCGAATCGGTGCTTTATAGATACGAGCAGGACTTCCAGAGACACATGCGTATGCGCTGGAAAAACTTTTCTACTCGTTTGGCGTAGATCTGGAAATTTGGGCGCATGAACATTCCTACGAAAGAATGTGGCCAGTTTACAATAGAACAGTGAGGATTTTGCTTGAACACCATCTTTATTAAGCTCATTGATTCAAAATACCGTGAGCCCGTGGCTTTTCACATGATTTGAATTAATTTCGCTCAAATTATAGTATGTGACCAGCATGAAGGTGATATAATAAAATGTAAAGCTTTCGTTGAAAGCAGGTTATGCCTGGAATAGTAATCCGATTGCAGGTTTACAACGGCACTCGTTCGCCGTACGTGGATCCACCGGCTCCAGTGCATGTTGTCACAGGATCAGCGGTAAGGATTAAGTTGGATTCCACCGTTCGGTAGGATTAGGGAGAGTTAAGAGCGTCAGGGGCACCCTCAGTAGCTGAGTTAATTTCCAATGAAAAACAGCGTGATTATAGGCTATATGTATTTCAGACGATCTCGATTCTCATTAATAATGTCTAGGAATATCGGAAATGCCATTTTCAAATTACCAGCATACAGAAGTTTGCACACCAACTCGAGATTTCTTCACAGTAACAAACTGAGTAAATTCTCCACTGCTCGAAATATTTGTGTGTGTATATCATCGAGAAAGTTTAATAAGCTACAGCATATACCTGAGTTAATAAAAGAATGGAACTCGAGCGAAATAATTTTACTGTCAAGCATCATATAAATGTGACCTCTGTGTCGATCACCCAATGTTTTGGTAATCTGATGAACAGCGCCTTTAGTAGATTCTTATGCTCAGCGTTGCCCACAATCTTCGCTTTTTCCCATAACATAGCTTTATGTGCTCGGAATTACAAGGCAAATACCTAATTCTTTGAAGGGAATTAGCTGGTTTGGTTGATCACTGTACGCACATGACGATATTTCTTCAGCTTGATAACATGCGTTGCCAATATG